TGGCTGCAGGTGAAGGACTGAAAGCACAGTCCAGTGATGTATGTGACTGAGCCTGAACTGTGCAGGGGCAGCAGGAGGAAATTGCAAATGAAGTCAAAAGTCTGTATTCTGCTTAGTCTTTTATCAGTTTCTCCAGGAACTTGAACTCTGCTGTTTCATGGTCAGTACAGCTAAAGCTGCCACTAATTATCACATCCAGAACTCTTTTTGTCTTGTTAATAAGTGACAGATTCAACTGTGGGTCATCTCTGGTCCATCCAATGTCTGTATCAAGAAATCATGACTACTTGTGATCCACTGTGTTGCTTTTCCAGCAGATGTCAGAGATTAACAGGAACCAGGGTCTGTGATGCAGAAACTTCTTGACTTGTTTAAAGACTTTATCTGTTTCCTCACCTGGATTGTGATCTGTTGCCCTCTGCAGAAACTTCTTGACTTGTTTAAAGAAGACTTTGTTTCCTCACCTGGATTATGATCTGTTGCCCTTAGTAGTCCCTCCTCTGATCCTGAGCCACAAGAACTCAACCAACCTGTTGTCTGTCCCATTAAGTTTCATAGATCTAAGCTGTTCCCTCCCATGGAAGACAACCCTCTGTCCTCACCTGCCCTGCCTGTCTTTCCTAAGCAGCTTATGTCTGTCCTTCCACAGCAGTATTCCAGTTGTACAAGCTACCTCAGGTAGCCCAACACAGTCACAGTTATGTCACTGCACATGGGCCTCTAGTTTCTCCTGCTTGTTTCCCAAGCTGTATACACTTATGCAGATACACTTGTGGTAGGCTGTCTTCTTTTATCACTTTTATCTTCTTTTATCACTTTGACGTCTCCCTTGTAGCTGTCACCTTTCACCATTTGCTTTCCACCCATGCCCATTAATTTCTATATATCTGTGGGTTGTTATTCACTCTCCTGTTGTTTATGATCTAAAGCTCTCCTTGCCAGACTGGACAACCTGGAGGCAAAGATACTTTTGTCCCACTTAAGTGGATTCCATCTCTCTCTAGCAGCCCTTTATCCCCAAAGGGTGACCTGTGTCTATAAAAGCCAAGTCCTTGTTGTTGTACCACCTGTTGTTGAAGCACCTTGTTACTGACTTGCAGTTATTCACACCTCTCTGAGCCTTTCTCCTTTAATGGCTAAATTCTGGAGATGTCACCTTGCCCCTAGAGCTGTATAGTCACTTTTGATACACTCAGGGGTTCCCTTGCAGCACTTAAGATTTGTGTCTGTGTGGGTGAACGGCAAGGACTAATAATGCGAGCACAGGACAAACCTTGCTAGCCTGCAACTGGTGAACGGCAAGGACTAATAATGCGAGCGCAGGACAAACCTTGCTAGCCTGCAGCTTACTCACAAGCAGCAAACCTTGGCAGGTTAGCAAGTGGGTTGGCAGATGGGGGAGGGCTCTCTCCCCCAGAGGATGGAGTCTCCTAGTGCTATGACTGCTGCTTCTTGCTGTGGGTGTGCTGTTCAGATTGCTCTGATGCTTTCTCAGAATTTCCAGCCCCTTGTCTGCCATGGAAGCACTGACAGAGGGTGGAGGAGGAGCCTGCCTCCTTTTGACAGACGTTAAGGAAACTTTCCTGTCTGACAGTCTGGGAGCCACTCTGGAAGTCATGCTCACACCACCCGAGCTAGGATCAAAGCCTGTTCACAGCAGGTGGCTCCAGTGAGCCAACGGGTGCCCTTGCCTGGCTCCCTACACACCTCACACTCCCACAGTCAGACAAGGTTTCCTTACGGGCTCAACCCTTATTTTCCCATAGCAGTCTCAGACATCTGGATCCAGAAAATGGTTTAATCATGGTGCAACAACAGAGTAACAGCTTGAGCTGGTGCTTTGGAGACAGGATCCTGAACAAAGGAAACCCAGGGCTTTTATACACTCACAGTCTATGTGTATGATAGTCTGGGGTTTTCCCACAGGGTCATCAGCTGCTGCTGTGTCTCTGTCCAGTCATCTGCCTGGCACCAGGTGCCAATTCCTGTCCTCTTGCCTTGGGTTTCCACAACGGCACCAGGTGCCAATTCCTGTCCTCTTACCTTGGGTTTCTACAATCCAGAACTCAATCTGCAGCTGACACTGCACACTGCAGCTGTACATTGAGCTACCAGCACTGAATGTGTTCCTCAACACCAGAGGTAACAAGACTTTGATCTTCCCCATCTTGTGAGTCTTCATTGGCTGCTCCAGTGATTGCTGACCCTCTTTCTCTTCAGATTCTCATCTCTGCAAGGTCTTGGTGAAGATGCCATCAGTCTCCCTTTGTCTTCCCTGATGCTGTGCAACCCATAGACCTCCTGCAGTTCCTTAACTTGGTGACACTGCACCTCCTCTAGGCAAGGACATTTCTCTGCTTGCCCCAGCCTTCAGGAGAGATCCCAAGCTCTCCTGATAGCTTGAGACCTGGATACATTCATCCTTTCTCAGGAGCCCTGCCTGAGTGAAGGTCTCTGATGTGCTGGAGTAGTTTCTTCAGCAGATGCTAGGAATGACATCCTATAGTTCATTTCCATCCTGTTTGAGTGCTTGCACATGGCCTTCGGTAGAGTTTTTGTCTTCCTATAGTTCATTTCCATCCTGTTTGAGCACTTGCACGTGGCCTTCTGTCTCCTTTCTATGGGTTGTGTTCTAGCCCTGGTAGTTGCATAGGTGTCTCTCTAGTACCAACTGGATGAATATTTGACCCTTCCTATTCATGAATCAGTGGAAGGCAAAAGTTCAAAGCACCTTTTGATCAGGCATTTTTAAACTGCACAGAGCACAGGAATTTTACTGAAGAAATCTTGATCACATGAACTTCATTTTGTAATCTAAACTGGGTAGAAAATAAAGAGGTAGGCCAAGACCTGATGCAGGGGTGTTTGTGTGGGTTTTGTTGGGGTTTGTTTTGTAGCTGTCTATTTTCTTGTGTAAGTTGAAAGTAACTGGAAGTCATTGTTCCTGTTGAACATTTATGTTCCTATATATTATCAGAAGAAACCTGATTTTTGTTACTTAATTCACCTGGAAAACCACTCTCTCATGGAACTTTTGCTGAATCTCTGTTAAGTGTTTAGGACATGATTGACACTTAGTAGCAAAAAGTCTTGGTAAAAACTTGAGCATTAGCAGTGATTCAGGACAAATCTGGATATGCCTCATCTATATTCTTTATTCTCAAATAAGTTCAGGAATTGATGTAGTTTGGTTTTATTTTGCTGTTGTGAATTTGTCTTAGCCTTGGGGTAGCTCACCCGTAGAGGGTGCTAAAGCACTGCTGTGGGAGGGTTTAACAGCTCAGGAAATTGTTTTGGCACAGGTGCTTTTAGAGCAGCACTCTCGGTTGTTGCTCTCCGGACTTTCAAAACTTAGGTGTGTGCTTGGCTCTGTGATCAGTCCCGTTTAATTCAGTGAAGCTACTGAGTTTACAGTTAAGTGTGTGTTTATCTCTTTGTAGGATGAAAAGCTAGTAAGGCTATTTTTAGTTGCAATTTTTGAAAGAGAAGACAATGGAGCTTGGTATGCTGAATGCTAAACAAAAATTTTCTCAGAAATCTTGCCAGTGTCTACTGTGAGAAAGTTGAAGAAAGAGGTTTTTTTACAGTGCCTGTGCAAGTTTTCTGTGTGATATATGTTCCTTATACTGTTGGGGGCTGTAGAGAGAGTAATCTATAAGACAGGTGAATATTAGGAGGAAGCAGCTTCTTTGTGTAACTCATTTAATCTAGAATACCACTGAAATACAAAACTCCGATTAATTTTTTCCCTCCCATTTCATTTTTCTTAATTTGATAGTAAGTGTATAAAGTTCATCTTGATCTATCCTCTTTCAGCCCTTTTACAGATATCTTATTTTTACACTTTGCTCGTCAGTTTGTACAATGACATCAGGCCTGTGGGAGAGGGAAGAGGTGTTAAGGGTCAGTGTGGTTTAAACCCATGGAATCCAAGTACCTAAAAACATGTATGCTTTTCTGTGGAACAGCTATTCCTACCATTAGCACACTTTTTTTAACTGTTTTGAAAAGCTCCACAGAGCAGCTGCAGGCCACTTAATGCTGTTTCAAAAGTAGCAGTTTTGTGGGCACAGCTTAGAGACCACTGGTTTAGATATTGAACATGTAAATTCCAGACTGGATTCTGCCAGAAACTGTCAGTCATTTATACTTGCCTGTGTAACTTTTCTGAATAAGCAATAAAGAATGATAATTGTGGGAGTCAAACAGCTAATTTGTGTGTGTGTGTGTGTGTATAAATGCAGGTATGTTAACTGTTAAATGTAGGATTAAATGTGCAGCTTTGATATTAATACCTTGTCATTTTTAGGCATTACCCAATTGGTTTGCTGTTTGATCTCCATGCATCAAATACAGCCCTTCCTTGGAGCATCACAGTGCATTTCAAGGTAAAACTGAAACATACCCTTAGTTAAGAGCATGAGATTCCATGACATTTGGAAGCTAGGAAAAGATTTCTTAATTATTTTCTAAAACAAGTGAATGGTATGATTTGAAAGGGTTGAATGGTATGATTTCTAGGGTTGAACTCGGTGATCTCGGAGGTCTTTTCCAATCTGGTTGAAAAGAAAAAAGAATGAAAAAGAAAGGGAGAATGTTCATTCTTCAGGGAGTGTATAAAGGTTTCTGTAAAGCTGCAGCTGTTTTCCATGAGGTTGTGTGTGCTTTTGTGTGACTTTCCTTAGAAAATTGTTCTATTATAATCTGAAAATCCAAAATTGATTTTCAAGATAAGAGACTGTCAGTGCAATTGAGTGGATACAAGAGAAGAACTTTCTATAATGTTAATTCAATCAACTTGAGTTGGCTAAAGATTAGGAAGATTGAGAAGTGCTTGTCCTTTAAGCATATGTGAGTGTGGATATGAGATACTGTAGAAATCCTTGAAGTCAGGGAATGCTGTTGTACATCATGTGGGTCTCTTTTGGAGAGCTGAGTGACATCAGTTTGGCTTTGTGACAGCTTGGTCACGGGAGAGACATGATTTTGGTTGCACATTGTAAAATGATTAGATATGACTCCATAGTGCTACTGAGCTTTTCTCAGAAAGGTACTTGGGCAGGGTTAGCTTTGGTGCAGGATTCTTTCATGCACTGAAATGCATTGAGTCAGAAATCCCAGGCATGTTTTGAAGTGAAAAGCACAACTAAAAATCGTGGTATTTAACTTGTGAAATGTTAATTTCTCCAGTGTAAAAGAAACAGTTCAACAGGAAAACTGATCCAAAGGAGAGTGCTAGGTTAATAGGCTTGACTAGTGTGTGAGAGATTTGAGTGAAATGAAGAGTACTGGGAAGCAGTTGTGTTGAATGCTTTGATTCAAACAATTTTTCTCTTGAAGGCCTTTTGGAAAAGGCCTTTCTAAGAGTAGTCTAATCCTTTTGGGAAATGTCCACTGAAATCATAGATTCTTGTTGTATGTATTTCTACATGTAGAAACTTTTAAAATAACTGACTGAACGAATCTGAAGTTGGGGGTGTTTTTGAAACTATTGCAACTGTTACACTTCTGTCTGATAAATATCAGAGACCTGGGATGAAGAAACTTCCAGAGTGTTCAGAAGAAAATGTAGGGCATCTAATTTCATAAATCATGTTTTAATTGTTATGTTTCGAGAGCTCTGGGATATTAACAGTGGCAATGTGTGGATGTTGCCATCCCAGAGTAGAGGCATCTTGACAGTTAAGTTGCAGCACCACAGTGCTTTTCAATTTCATGCGATATTGTAAACTGAATTTATATTGCCAGAAGATCAGCTAACAGCACCACAGTGCTTTTCAATTTCATGCTATATTGTAAACTGACTTTATATTGCCAGAAGATCAGCTAATTTAAGTTTGTCTCAAAGGTGTACATTAAAGATCAGCAGAAATAATTTACTGCTAAGGCACTCTTATTTTAAAAGCTGATGTAATTTAGTAATATAATACCTTGGAGTTAGCACCTGTGTAATCTCTCTTCCTATTTTGATGTAATAATATAATACCTTGGAGTTAGCACCTGCATAATCTCTCTTCCTATTTTGATGTAGTCTGAAAGTTTATTTAAATAAACCCCCCTTAATCCTGAAAGTCAAAACATGACTGAAATATATCAAAGTATGTCAAAATATTGAAGAGGTTTTCATGTGTTACGGTTTCTTACAGCTGAATAGTTTAGGTGTGGGATTTCTGGCTAGATTATTCTTTTCCTTTCTGTGTAGTTATTCTTCAAAGAGCCATAATTTTTATTTGGCTTAATTGAACAGTGTTAGATTTTTCTGGGGTTTAACTTACATTGTCATGCCTGTCTCCTTTATTCCACCAAAGCATGCAGTCAACAGCAGATATCTCAAACATCTGTAAGGAGTGTTTTTCAACTGTAAAAAAGTCAAATTCCCCCTATCAGGTTTCTTTGTTGAAAGTCAAAAACATGAAAAAGGATTTTCTGTTCAGCAGAAGTTTGGAAGTTGACAGGTGCTTGTAATTGTCCTCCTGTGTTATGTATATACACCAAATAATAAACACACTTAGTCTTTGCACTGAAAAAAAGCAGTTTCTTAATTTGTACTTCTGATATGCAATAAAATAACATGCACGTATAAAGCTGAATTAAATAGTCATAGAAGGATGAGCTTGAACAGCATACTGAGGTCTGAGAATCATGAGAAGCCATAGCCTGGGAAGTGGCTTTTGTTACCCAGGTGTGGCTTTATGGGGAGGAGGGAAACTCTATCCTTTCCTGTTAAAATCATCTCATGTTACCCTGAGGCATGCTTAGCACTTTTCATGTTCTCAGTGTGGTAACCAACTCTCCAGATTTTGGGCAGTAGATAGGAAGTGGTGAACTGGTCTGGAAATAGCAGCACTCTTGGAGGAGAGGAAATGGGGTGTGCTGGGTGAAAGGCAAACATTCTCCCTGTGCTGAAGCTGGTGCCTGCCTCTGCACCCATGACCTGGTGGAGGGGAGGAGAGGCTGTATCTGTCTTTGTATAACAGCCATTGTCTTGGGTTTTTTTTAGCTGAAAATTGGGTCAGGTGGAGTGAAAAGGATGTGCTTTTCCATGTAGCATATGGATAAATTGTGGGACTGCTAGGAGATATTGTGGAAGTCAGAAGCAAAAATGTGGGTTTTTTGAAATTCATCTTCTTTGAAAGACAGACCACTGATGGTAGCTGAACACCAATATGTGGATGCTGCCCCTGTCACTGGATACATTCTTTCTGGTTTTTTAGTGCCCTCTTTTCTGTGTCTGTATTCTAATGCAGCCAGTCACTGTCTGACATTGTGTGTCACAACATAACATACTGTCACAGTATAAACAGGTGTTTTGCGAGCTGGAACTGATAGATAAATATGGGTGGAATGGAGTTATGAAACCAGACTGTTGAAACCACCTGTGATGTTTTTGGAACAGTTTAATGTGAGAGGTCATTTAGTCCTCCTGTCTGTACAGACAGTACCTATTTTTTTATGACCAGTTCATGCTGCAAGTGGCTACTGGCATGTGAAAAAAAAAGAGTACTTCTTGAGCTTTCTAAGAAAATCAGAGTCAAACCTGAGCAACTTTTTTTTTTTTTCAAAGACACTGAACATGAAGAGAGTAAGGCATCACCAGTAAGAGTGCTTGAATTAAGGCTGCTTCTGGGATCTGTTAAAACTTCCCACGTATCTCATAGTTGTATAGCCAGGGGTGGCTGCCAACTTGGTTACAACTGTCTCCTCAGGGAACTGAATAAAGCTATTTGCATTTGATCACTATCTCCTCAAGTAGGAAGAATGCAAGTAGAATTTAAAAGATAAAAATTAAAGCATGCGTGATCTATATTCAAGTATAAAACTATTCTGTTCCCTGATTTATGAATCAGTGGTGATGCAATGTTTTCTGTTGGTAGTCTCATGTAGGTGAAACTGTTTCATATGCTTCTTGTACATGCCTTGTTTTTTTCCAAATTACAACTTTCATGTTCAGGTTTTTCAGCTTCCACTCACAGTACTGCATAGAAAAGTGTCAGTATTTTTCTACTACACAGGAGAGTAGACTGTCTTCCAGTCTTTCAGTGTTACTCCTTAGAAGCTGGGAAAACTAATCATGCCACACCTAGTTTGACTACTGTGGCTAGATTCTTTACACTAGCTTAGCTTGCTTTGACCGATTTTAAGTATCTCCTTGTTATTTTGCAGACTACACTGTGTATGATTTCTGGAACATGTTCCCAGGGAGTGACATTCCCTGTAATGTGAAATTCATTGGAAGAAATTGAGCAGGAAGATGTCTACCTGTAGAAAGACAGGAATGTAAAAAAAAAAAGACCCTGCAGTTCAATATTTAGATACATGTGAAGCAAAACAGTTGTAACAAAACTGTTCTTTTCATAAACTTAGCTAAAGCATCAGCTTTTAACTATGAAAGTCAATTTCTAGGTTCCTGTATTGCTTGGCTTTAGGTACATTCCACTGTTTCTTCCCTTTGTTTGAGGCTGCCACTGTCTCACTTTGAATTCCTGCATGTAAAGAACTGTTTTGATCTTTAAGTATGCTGTTTCTGTCTGTTCATTTCTTCTGGATTGGTTACCAGACTTTACATTTTTTATTTGAGCAAGTAAGTTGAACTTCTGAAAGTATTTTACAGCTCTATGCAGATGTCAGTTGGCAAGTAGCAATTCCAGTAATGTTTTCCTAGTAATCTTGGGCCTAATTATGCTGAGACACTCAGCTTTGCAGGGTAGAATGGGAGCAAGGTCTGCCCAGAACAACTCTCTCTTCTCTTTAATGTCTTTATACTTGGCCATTCTCATATGAGAAACAAGATTTACCTCTGTCCTTAGATTTCTGGTCAGCTTAACATACATCAGGGCTACGTAACAACAGCACTCACTGTATGAGTTCAGCACCAAACCACATAAACTGTAGTGGAAAAGATACTAGCAATCTTCTCTTTGCTTTATGCCCCTCTTTTGGGAAAATACTCATCATTTTGATCCACGGTTTCCAGAGTTTGGGTTCACTGTCATAAAGAGGAATCACTATATGAAATTTGGTTATTTATTCCAACTCTTTTAAATAACTGAATGAGAAGGGAACTAAAATTGTTGTCCTCAGAATTTCCTTCAGGGTAGGCAATCCCTAGCTCCTTTTCACATTGCCTACTGGTAGTGGGTTTTGGATATTTTGAGTTCCTGTATTTTGAAACACTCTTCACTATTTTTCCTGGGTTTGTGTGAAGGAGTGTAGGTATGGGGTTTTTTTCCCAGCATTATATTACTCTTACTGTGACGTGTTAACTATGTTGTAAAAGCCTTTGAGAAATACCCAGTTATAAGTACTTGTATTTCCAAAAGGGTTTTGACAGTCCATCACAAAAGCTTTTTTAAAGAACCAGTTTGTAATGGGATAAGAGGAAAGGGCCTCTGGTGGACCAGCATGAGAATTAAAGTATAAAAATGTGGCAAACCCATGTTATGAAGGGGGTGCTGACAATGCTGCCAGTCTGGTTTGGCTCTGAATTTTGCACCATTCAGCATAGTCATAAGCAGCTGTGAAATGAATAAGGAGGGAATAAAATACTCTGGGTTTTAAAATTTCTGACAGCTAGAGGCAGTGGATTTGTGGTAATGAATGCTGGAGTTATGATGGCATGTGGCAGTAAGTGTTGATGAAAGAAAAATTAGAGTAAGAACAAGCACAACTTATACTTTTATAGTGCTGGACTTCTGATCAGTTAACTGCCAAAGAAATCTTTTTTGTACCTCAATGAGATTTACTACTATAATTCCATAATAAATGAATTGGGTGAGGTACTTGTCATTTTCCAAGGGGTTAGGAGTGACCTGAGGAACAGTAACTGGGCAGCTGCAGTGCTGAGTGCTGTGTGCCTGCTCTGACCAAACACAAGGGGTCAAGTCACAGAGGTTGGCCATAGGCACATGGATTGGTAAAGCTGGAGCTGACAAGGATTTCCAGTATCTCTAAGGAAGAATGTTTGTAAGTGGCAGATATGCAATAGTTCACATATGTGAATGATTCTACTTGGAGGAAACATTTTTCAAGGTCCTGCTTAGAAATGGGTGATCAGCTACTACTGAGAGTCAGTACAAATTAGGTGCTTGTCACTCACTTCTCCCTCTTTCCTCCTGTTTGTTGCCTGAGATTTGGGCATCTGTTTGAAAACATGTTAAAATTCTGGCTTTACAGAAAACTGTTCAACTTTTATTTTTCCTGAAAGGTTTTCCCTTTCTTGTCAGCAGAGCAAGAGAATGGTTGTTACATTCTTCCATAAGTAGTAGATTCCAGTGTGCTTCTTTTGCATAAATATAAGCCTGTTTAAAATTATCATTTATGCTTCATCATCTAAGGTATGTGATGCATTTATTTCTCTTGATCTATCATTTCTCTTTGTAGAATTTTCCAGAGAAGGATCTTCTACACTGCCATTCTAAGGATGTGATTGAAGCTCATTTTATGGCTTGTATAAAAGAAGCAGATGCTTTAAAGCACAAAAGTCAAGTCATCAATGAGATGCAAAAAAAGGATCATAAGCAACTGTGGATGGGGTTACAGAATGGTAAATACAACACATCAAGTATTAATTGTATTTAGGTCTAGCAAGCTAATAAATAATTTCTTCAAATTTTAGTTGTGATACAGGATATAAAATGTCATTCACAGAATTTTTGTCTAATGTCATAGAAAGCGTTTTTTGGTTTGGTTTTTTTATGTTTTTTTTTTAAATAATAAAAGTCATGTGGATGGGGTTACAGAATGGTAAATACAACACATCAAGTATTAATTGTATTTAGGTCTAGCAAGCTAATAAATAATTTCTTCAAATTTTAGTTGTGATACAGGATATAAAATGTCATTCACAGAATTTTTGTCTAATGTCATAGAAAGCGTTTTTTGGTTTGGTTTTTTTATGTTTTTTTTTTAAATAATAAAAGTCATTGGTGGTTTGGTTTTTTTATGTTTTTTTTTTTTAATAATAAAAGTCATTTTGGTGAGCATTCAAAGGTGGCTCGAGTTATTCAAGGAACTAGATTGGGTCTTGACTCTGCTTTAACAACCAAAGCTAGCAGCAGATCAAAATAGATAGCTAAATATTGCCTGGTGTGCTTTGTGCATCCCGTGGTCTTTATTTGGGAGACACCTGGGGTTTAAGTGTTCAGTATTAGCCATCTTGGACCATAAAGAAATGAGATTGTCTCCTCTAGCTAAAGCTTAAGGGTTGTGTCACTGGTAAACAGTGCAGGCAAGCTTTCAAAAAGGTTGCCCAGTAGATGAATCATATTACTTTTCTCTCTGCCAAAATATCTTTTTATTGCTGATGTTACCACAGCTTTCAGAAAGGTTTCTGCATAGGTAAGTATTGACTTGAAAACTCAGCAAAGTAATTCAGAACAGCATCTTATAATTAGTGTTCTTCCTTTGCACAGGTGGCACAAATCTGTATTGTCGTGCAAAATGAAACTTATTTTGTTCTTAGTGCCTCCTTTTATCATGGTTATTAGAGGCCTGTAAGTTGAAAAGGTTTTCTAAGTATTTCAGAAGCTGCTCTCTGGTCTGGATGGTCTTGGCACTTCCGATGCATTTTTCTTATCTCCTGAAGTTTTCGTTTCTGTTGTCACTAGTGAATTTATTTTATGGAATGAAGATGTTTATTCTATGTTGAGCTCTGAAATACTAAACACTTAGAATTAAACATCTTCCCATACATTTATAAGGAAAATTAAATGAAACAGGAGAACCTTTGAATGCAAGAAGGTTTGAGCCATGTCTTTGCTTTAGACCAGGAGGTTCCAAGTCAGCTTGGGTTTAATGTGGATATTAGTGAGTGTGTGGGATTTCCTCGTTTCATTGTTGCTTAGTGGCACTGCCTTTCACTGTAGAGATACTCCTGCAGCAGTTTTGAAGTTTGAGAGCTTATTAGATAGACACTCTGATTTCTATTTTTTATTTAATTGGGGGAGAGTTAGAAATTGAGGGTTTATTTTAATTTTCCATTTGAGTGGGAAGATCTTGAGGGATGCCATACATACTTGCAAAATCTATCAAGTAAAAAAATTGCACTTTATCTCGTGAGGGATGCCATACATACTTGCAAAATTTATCAAGTAAAGAAATTGCTTTTTATCTCATTCAGTTCAAAGTACTTTTTGAGAGATTATTTTGTCTAGGTACTTGTCAGTAAATTGACTGATAATATGTTCACTTTTGTGAATTAGCAGTAAATAAAGAGTTCTGGTCCAGTGGAAACCAGAACTGGTATAAAAGTAGTTGTTTCTCCAAAGCCTTTATCATTACAAGTCAATTTAAACTGCAATTTTAATAATTCTGGGGGGGAAAAAATGTGTTTTGCTGTAAGAGTATTTGTCTTGCAAGCAGTTGAGTTCAAGTACCAAAATGCTGTGCCAGCATAATTTTGGTTTCTATTTTTAAAATTATTAGCTTTATTGCAAAAAGAAATTCTGTTGCTTCGTCCCAGTGCTCAACTGTTCCCAGCACTGCACTTTATGTGCTCTTTTTATCATACTTTTAAAAGTTAAAACTTAAAGACCTCTAATGTGAGTTACACTTTTATCATACTTTTAAAAGTTAAAACTGAAAGACCTCTAATGTGAGTATAATGAGTAATAAAATGAGTTTAATAATGACAGGAGAGTTGACTACACAGTGACACAGTACGAGTTAAGATTCTTTTCTTAACCAGAAGTTACAGACCCTCGATACTCTCAATATGTAAGGTAAGGGGACAGATACTCAGCATGTTCACAGTACGAGTTAAGATTCTTTTCTTAGCCAGAAGTTACAGACCCTTGATACTCTCAATATGTAAGGTAAGAGGACAGATACTCAGCATGTCTTTTCCATGCCTGTCTTAGGCTGTATCTTTTAGTTGATTATTTGTCTAAGAATGCCTTCAGTTGTAGGAAACTAGACGTTTTCTGTTTTGCTGTATAACGTTAAGAGCAGAGGTTGCCTGGCAAGGTTAATTTCAAGAAGGTTTCACTGTACTTAATGAGAAATTGCACCTGTGGAATCTGACACCTAAATGAGAGGTTTAAGAAATCTTTTGAATACTTTCAAATGCTAATTTTAATTTCTCAAGTCTTCATAAAAGAGAAACAAGAAAAGCTTGTGAAACCAAGAAAACTCTTTTTAAGCATGTTTTATCTTTCAATATGTTTTTATAGGCTTTCGTTTGAGATGTAATAATTTTAAACCCCTTTGTGAAACAGTGAACGGCCACAAAAAAGAAAAGAAAGTAGCATTTGTGATAACTGCTTTGTAAGTAAAGATACATCTGCAGGCTGGGTTTTTTTCTGTGAAACTTCAAACAATTTCCTTCACTTCTTAAATATAGGGAGTGTTATTTGTTTAATGAGTGATTGCAATACTTACAGGATATGTATTAAACTCTCATTTATGGAAAAAAACCCCATCCAATTTTGCTTGTTTGGAGAAATGTAACTATCAGTTAATGCATGATTTGCTATAAATATTTCTGCTGAGAAGCAAGTACTTGAATAGGTAGCATGTGAAACTTTTCAGTTGCCTGTAGATGGCTTTTAAAGGAAGAGCTGTAATAGTGAATTTGTGGGAAAATCTTGTGCTGGCAACAGCTGGTCGGTATTTATAATAAGTTTTACATCCCTCTTCCCACCATTTCTGGTTTTCTGTTCTTATGCTACCAAATCAGGAAAGTAAACATACTTTTCTATCTTTTGCTGCATTTTTTCTTGTTCTTCAGACTTCATTTAGGCAATTTTTGTCCATATTTCTTAGCTAGAACACTTCTTTGGGACAGATACATTTTGACCAGCATTGTCAATGTCTGACTGTGGTAGGGAAGTGATAAAGGCAGAGTCTATAGCTATACTGACCTTTCTTCCTTGGTAAGAACTGTTAAAATTCTTTGGTCAGAATCCATGGAAAATGTTACTACTGGTTTTACTTTGATAGAGTTATGGCCATTTTTATCATGGATAAAGAGGATTTTCAAGTGGGTGAGTTTTTTTCTTCTTGCCTTTTGTGTGGAAAAATTAAAGGCTTTCAGCTTTGAAACAGTCAGACTCTGTGGGCCTACTGGTGATTCAGGATCAAACAAACGAAATCTCAGCTGATTTGGGAGGGGAGAGCTGTATTTTTTTTTGCATGGTTCAAAGAATTAATATCTGCAACTTCAGTATATAATGGTTCTGATAAAGGAGGGAGTTTAGATTCAGCACATCTGCTTTTCATCAGTTGTGGAGCAACATAAGCAACCGTACCCTGAAATTTTCATAGGCATCATTTATAACCAGTGAAGACTAGACTTGGTATTTCTGATACATGAGTGAGGGAAATAAACAGTAAAAACTCCTAAGCATTTTAAAGCTTCTTTTATATATTATAAAATATAATGAAGTCATTATTTTACTGAAAATATTATGGAAAAAGAATGTAATGCTCATTCATGCTGTTGGGCTTACCAGAAGTTAAGTGGCCCTGTTGAATTGTTTTTATTAAAGGGAGAAAAATCCTGCAAGCAGTCAGAATATACAATATTTTATCCCTTAATGCATGTGGTCTCTTTCTTGTGTTACTGACAGGATCAGGCCTGTGTTATCTTGCATTTAGTTCTAAATTTTATCTAAACTGTTCTTGGGCTTTTGAGAGGCAGAAGGTGTGTTTCTTGTGGATTGTTACATCCCTGTTTAGAAATGTTTGAACTGCCAAAAAGAAATAATATCATATAATATCCTCATCTCTTGTGCTGTGTACACATGGCCCAGGTTTAGTAGGTGTGTTTCTCCTCTTCATAGAGAACTGATGGAAGCAATGCTGTTCTTCACCTCATGGTGAACATGCTTTGGTAGCTGAGCAGATCTCTGTAATCTAAACTGATCATTTGAAATGTAATTTTCGCAATATGTGCTTGGAAAAATCTTCAGAAATTTATCAGGAGAATTAATTAACAAGCCATTGGTTTTTAAATCACAAAGCCATCTTTTATTCTTTCCTGTAGTGCTACTAAAAGTGGGATTTCCTTCCATGTTCTGTCTGTGGAGATTTGGTTGACTGTGAAGAAAGATTAAATAATTCTTTTGAGCTTGGAAAATGGTGTGTTGGTTAAAAGGATTTTTTAAAAATCATGACCTTCCTGGGCTGGTAGTTAAACATTTCTCAAAATGCATCAAGTCACGTTATCATTAGGGTCAGTACCTGCTTATTTTGGGGTCAAGGTAGCATAGCATACACACACAACATTGGGGCTGCAGATGTTTTGGAGCTGAAGGGAGTGCAGCGTAGACATGTTCAAATAGCTCTGCACAAAGTCAGCCCAGTGCTGTTCTGGTGCTGAGCTGGGGCTGGGCTCAGGCAGGCTGGACCTGCAGAAGGAACCAGCTGCAGCAGAGCAGGCCTTCCCAGGGATTATTTTTTGCCATGGTGATGGGTTTTGCTTGGTGTTTGGTTGGTTGTGGTGGTTTTTCTGGTAATGGATTGTGACCTAGACTTCACTGTTAGGTCTGCAGTGTTTACTGGCTTGTTACCCTTTCTGCAGAAATGACTAAGCCAATGCTCCAC